ATGTCATTGAATAATAATAATATGTCATTGAATAATAATAATCTAGCTCTTGAAAAACAAAGTAATCAGCTCTAGTTACGCATTTCTCAAGCATTTGAAAGTTATTTAAGAGCTCCCTCACTGGAGCCGGAGACAAGGGAAAAAATCTACTGCTGGCCCTATTTCGAAATGCCTTTGGCCTTGAGAGAACCCTTTTTTATTTAACCTGTTCCTGCCAACTAGTTTAGCCTGCACAGCAGAACATAAGGGTCTCAATATAATAGGTATAAACCAAGATAGCAGCTAAAATGGGAATTATTGACCAGCTACGACATCTGCCAGAAAAAAATACCACCTCTCTCAGAAACACACATAATTTCGTGACCATAAATCCGTTGCAGCAGCTTCCTCATGTAATTTACAAATTTGTTAACGACTAATATCACACTGAAAGTGCAGCTTGGAGCTGCACAGTAAAAAAGCGTAGGGGTCAGTAAAGCGCAAACGCTATACTCTCAACAACGAACAAGGAAACGGACCTTTCCCGATCGAATCCTACAATCTTCATTCCAATCCGTTTCATGTTCTTCGGATCCCGCTCCGACATAATTTGCTCTGCGGCTGTCTTGTCTCCCGCCGACAGGGCTTTACTATACCTACAACATAAAAATTTGCCATTCAATGGAAAACTTTCAAAGCAGAGTCAATACCCTCAAACCACGGAATAAGTAAATATAAAATATTGATAAAACCATGGTAATAACTTCAGAAAAGTGGGTTGTCAAGGGGTTTGTAATGATCAGCTAAAATGGGCAAAATAACCCACATATAATACTGTTCGACACAGGTGAACCTCCTTCTTGATCCATCCATTGCTGTCTGTTGAAAACGGCATGGATGAAAGTTAGAGAACGGACTTTGGATGGTGAAGAAAAGGGTGAAGTCGCCATTGGGTGACGAAACACGACGTGTACCCATTCAAAACTCTGAAACCAAAGGTAGTCGTAAGTAGGAAATAGCAAGGTAATAAACTGGAAAGATTAACTTCAATCTCAACTGTATGAAGTCGGCACTAACCTCACTAATTATTTCTTGAACATCCAAAAAAGAAAAGTCCAATGGATCGGATAGGTAGTTAATACAAATGAAGAATAACCAATATTCTGAAAATAGAAATCCATGATTGTCACAGCTCACTAGCGTTTGTACGGAGTGCCCCAAAATCAAAGCTCCATTCCTATTTAGAAAACGAAACACTTTCGCACTGGAGTTATAGCTTTCATGGAACAGCGTAGAAATGTCTGTGCCTAGACTGGCGTTATAACTTTGGTACACTCTGTACCAGTGCTGCTGCGAAGAGTA